TGTTTTCGTGGTTTTCCACGCTCCTCTGTGCCTCTGAGAACAAGCTTTTTGTTCAAGAAGAATCTGCAATCTCATCAGCTCTAAGCCACCCTCCCACCTCCTGCTGGGCCAAGTTCTTCTCAGAAAGGGAACGAAGAGAAGAAAGTGGAGGGGACTGTGGGGACAGGGAGAGTCAGCGTGGACAGTACACAGCGTTCTGCACAAAGCGAGGACCTGTACGGGCTGCCCACTGGCTCGATGACCTTGGACCTATGTGAGCCTGGCCATCTCATATTTTGAAGGAATTAGAGAGTTCAGAATTAGATTTACAATCCTCTCCAGCTATAATTGTTGTTGTTGTTGTTGTTGTGTACTGTCAAACCCATAGCTGACCCTGCAGTGGGTTTTTCAGAGGCAATAAACCATATGGAAAGAAATTAATTGCCCATCTTTCTGCTTCAGAACAGCTGGTGGGCTCAAAGTACATGGCTTGGTGGTAAGGAGCGTCACTACCAACACAAAGGTACACGGTTCAATCCACCATCTGCTCCTTGGGAGAAGGATGGACACTTTTCTCCATGCAATTTACTGCCTCTGGAAACCTGCTGGAGGGTCAGCTATGGGTCAGTTCTGACTCGATAGTGCATAAAAACCACAACCGGCATCAGCTATCAACATCTTAAGCCCTAATTAAGACCCCAAACCTCTAGTAATGAACAAAGCTGTCCTGACACGTACATCTGGGTAGGGAAACATTGGGACTTTACTCCTCCTTTTTATTCTCCTGCAACACCCCGTCTATGGTCCCAGGGAGGAAAAACAGAAACATTAGCCCAAAAGGAAAACAGAAATAGACTTTTAAAATGAAGACATAAAAGAGAGCAAGAGGCATTCGGAGGCCCTGTGTCCATTAAAAAAGACCAGGACACACACTCCAGGGGCCCCTACGAGCAGTCTGGTCCCCACTTCAAAGCAGGAAAGTTTGTAAGTGCTTCTGGCGCCATCTGCTGGTCATCTCAGAAATCCACCACTGAACTCGGTTCGCAGAGGAGCTCGGAAGCAATCTGGTGCACCTTGGTGGGGTCACGTTTAGGGCAGGGAGCACACTCTGTCCCTCACAGGAACATCTCCATAATTCCTTCCAGAATTCACTTTTGATTTTGCTCTGTCGCCTTGATGGTAAAAGGAACACACACAGAAATTAATTCCTCAAGGAGACCCATAATGGTCACCTCCAAGGTATATGCAATTTCTCCCAACACAAAATCCCCTCAGATTTGATTCAGTTGTTTCCTTCACTGCACCCAGGTCTCCTGTAGAGGGGCAGACATGCTGGGGATACCCCCTCTGAACACGTTTGCTTGTATTTTTCTGTCTCTGTCTCTCCCATTCTCACAGATCTTTTAACTAACTGATCTCTGGATTATTCCAGTTTTTCAAGAAGTCGCACCTCACAATGTAAATGAAAGATTGTACAGAACTCAATGTGCATAACTGAAACACAAGACAAACGAATTAAAGTATGAAAATCAATTTTTTTTTTCAAAGAGAGGGATTCCCACTTAGCCCCAAGTAACCCTACCTACAAGGAGGTCTGCTCCCCTTTTTCTTTACACCCACCTAAAGGAAGTGTGTCCCTCACTCCCTCTTCACAAGGTGACCCTTCTCACAGAGCCTTTGAATGAAACAGCCCCTTTGTCATCTGGGGCTGCCCTTCAGTTACACAGCTGTGGTATATTCCCAGCAGGACTTATTTCAGCCTCTGTCTGCTCTAGGTGTCCACGAAAAAGAATTCCCTCCATCGCTTCTGATGCCAAGTCTAACAGGTACCTCTCAAGCCTGTCTAATATTATCAGGCTCTTCACGTGCTCTTTAATAGTAAAGAATAATGAGAAGGTCCATCCTTCTGGGGCAAAAGGGGCTGCCCGGAGCCTCTGATTGGCCCTGTCAGGGAGGGGTGGCTGGCCATATTTGGCGAGCAGCCGGAATGCCGCCTCCCCCTGCAGCTCCTATATAGCAGGACAGGCCCTGGCCACAGACAGGCTGTGCTGGAGGACAGTGCCCGCCTGCCGTTCCAGAGACAGATTCCCAGCAACCCAGGTAAGTGGGAGGCAAGGTTTGTGGAAAGATTCCATTTTGAGGGTCAGGGTCAGAATTGTAAATTTCTCACCTGTCTCTATCCTGGGCTGCAAATCGTGCAAAGATGGTTTTGTGGGGGGGGTTTTAATGTCCACTTCTTGGGATGAATCCCATGTTGGGGGAAACTGGTGAAAATAATGTTCAAGCAGCAGCTTTTCTGTTTTGGGGGGTTGAAGTCTAATGCAAGGAGCTCCGGTGGTGTGGTCTGTAAGGAGTCGCACGGCTGACCTAAAGACAGTGATTCTGTGAGGGTTCAAATCCACCAGCAGCTCTACGGGAGAAAGATGGGCAATCTCCTCCCATGTGATTTACAATTTCAGAACCCCATTAGAGGGTCAGGTATGAGCTAGGTTCCCACTTCACAGCAATGGCAGGGTCGGCCTAACACTACCATAGGGCTGGCTGATGGGAGTTTTGGTTTGCATTTAAGGTCTTGCCTGGAAGAATCACTTTTCCTTCCAAGACTTCTATGCTTTCATTACTTTTTTTTTCACTGTAGCTAACTCATCATGATGTTATGTTATTATTCTTAAGATTTCTTCTACCAAGAGTTATGGGCTGATGGAATGGGGTGTGGCCCTCTACTTAAGAGATGAATGAAGGTTTGAGTCTCTTTGGAGGGAGAAAGTTTGAGCCCATTATTATTAGGGGTAAGGGTGCTAAAAGTCTGGGGTACCCACCCTTGGGCAGACTAGGCAATGTCTACAAGCAAAACAAGGGCAAGGGAGGCCTTGCAGAATTCCAAAGAAGTCAAAGACATGAGCTAAGGTTTTATCTTACCTTTTATTCTGCATGGGAGCCAGTATCACAGTATAGTTGACTGTCTGAACAAAGGAACTTCAGGAATGTTGCAGAAGGTTGATGTAGAGGGTGTTGGGGGGACTAATTAATAATCACGCTCAGTTCCAAACTGCCCTCCTTCTCGAGCAGTCCGTGGATTCAGTTCTCTGGTGTTCCCTGGGTTCGCTATCAGGTGTTATCTCAGAGACAGACTAAACTCACTCCCTCTCCACTGTAATAGCTCTTGCTGTCTCCCAGATCTGCAGGACAAAGGGGCAGGTGCTGAAATGCCCTTGACAATGGGCTGTGGGAGATGGATTGTCACAATAGCTATTGGCCCCTCAGAAGCCAGAGGGGCAATCTAAGGAGGGGTCTCTTAGTGCCTCCCCCTAGCCTCATCTGCTCTCCCTTCTTCTCATTTCACCTGGAATGTCTGTGTTCAGGGGCCCACAGGACAGCCCTTCATGTTCAATAAAGCAAAAGCCTAAAATATGCCCCCTCAAAGGAGTGGGGACAGGTCAGGCAGAAATGGATTCAAATCTGTCCTCTGAAGCCCAGTACATTTCCAATTTTTCAACAGCACATAACAATAACAACCTAGGTTATAATAACAATAACAACCTAGGTTACAATAATAACCTACCCTGTAACTATGAGTAGGAATTGACTCCAGTGGCATTTTCCTTAGAACTAAATTAGACAGAGTCAGGGAACGGCTTAACACAAGGGTTGATAAATAGTAATTGCTCAGTAAAACGTGATGAGGGATGTGTGATGGTCATGAGAATGATTGGAAAGGACATCTACAGCCACCTTGGCACAGCGTGGAGAGGCAGGGGTCCACTAACCATCTCTCACTTTCTATCTGTCTGCCATCTCCTTACCATCAAGCCCAGTAAGATTAGCAGTTAGCAGAATATGCCTAAGACAGACCCAGTTTAGAGAAGTAGAAAATGAAGAGGGGACATTTAAAAAGACAACCTAGTGCGGAAACATCCTCAGGCTGCTCACTTGTGACTTGGACATTTTTCTGTCTGCATGTCATTGTATCATTAAAAAGCTTTTGAAGACATTAGTGAAGGATCAAAAGGAAGATGTTAATCAAGGTAAAGACAGAGAGATACACACACACAGAGCAGAGGGGAGCTCTTGTGGCCTAGTGGCAAGGAGCTGCACTGCAATCCTCAAGGCATGTGGTTTGAGGCCACCAGCTAGCTGCTCCACAGGAGAATGGACAATCTCCTCCCATGTGATTAACTGCCTCTGAAAACCTTCTGGACAGACTGTTACGACTCTACAGTACACAGCAACATTATATAGACACAGAGAGAGAGAGAGAGAGACATATTGTATTCCCAGAAGTCTCTAATTCAACCTTTCTATTGTGTTTTCCTCCAGGGACGCCTGGAGTGGAAGGACTTGGGAAGACCAAGGAAAAATAGAGGTATTAAGTGAGTACTCATTCCTTTCCCATGCTCATCCAAGGGCATTTCTAATTGCCACTTACAGCTTCTTATCTGCCTGAGAAAACCAGAACAGCTGCCTTGTGTTGGCTATAACTCCAGGCAAAAGCAGAGCAGGCTGGCATCGTAGTTAGCTGTATGCAACCCAAGCATGGGAACAGGAGCATGCCATGGGGAAAGGGGGGTGCCAGCCGCTAACATGCTGTCTGTTGCTAACTCAGAGAAGTTGGAGATTAGTCCAGCCAGAGGCACTGGAAGAAAGGTCTGGCAATCTACTTTCCGAAAATAAAAGCAGCCATTGAAAGCCTGGGAGACACATGGGCCCCCACTGACAGAACTAGGGTGTAGAGTTATTGTTGTGTATCATCGAGTTGGAACCAACCCAGAGCTGAGCCTCTGGTGGTTTCTCCGAGGCAGTAATTTGCAGGAGAGGAGATTGCTCATCCTTCTCGAGCAGGTGGATTCGAACTGTGTGGCTTCAGGATTGTAGCACAGCTTCTTACCCCTCGGCCATCAGACTTCCCTGGTGGGGGCCGGGGGGTGGGGGGGGGGAGTGTAGGGAGGAGAATGAGAGAGGGAGACTCGTACTCGCTGTGAAAACTGATGGCCTTGGCCGTTCCCACTGCAGATCGCCGCACGATGAGGAAGCATCAGGGAGCGTGGTGGCTGGCCATCGGCTTTGTCTTCCTCCTCGGCCACCTCTCCGTGGTCACCACGCGGGGCCTCAAGCTCCGGATCAAGTGGAACCGCAAGGCCTTGCCGAGCACCGCCCACGTGGTCACCGAGGCCCGGGTGGCCGACATCCGCCCGGGCGCCTTCATCAAGCACGGCCAGAAGCTGGACATCGACTTTGGCACCGAGGGCAACAGGTACTACGAGGCCAACTACTGGCAGCTCCCGGACGGGATCCACTACGAAGGCTGCTCCGAGGCCAACGTGACCAGGGAGGCGTTCATCGCCGGCTGCATCAACGCCACGCAGGCGGCCAACCAGGAGGAGCTGGCCCGCGACGGCCGGCTGCACCAGCGCGTCCTCTGGCGCCTCATCCGCGAGCTGTGCGCCCTCAAGCGCTGCGATTTCTGGCAGGAGCGCGGGGCGGGCCTTCAGCTGGGCCTGGACCAGCCCGTGATGCTCTGCCTGCTGGCTTGCGTTTGGCTTCTGCTCAAATAAGCCTGCAGAGAGGGGGTAGGCCTAGAGGCAAAGCAGGTGAGCAGAGAGCACAGTGAGTTATCTGGGCTCTCTCCTCGCCCCAAACTCACTGGCACCAGAAGGTAGCAAAGAACAGCGAATCCCCACCATTTCCTAGACGGCTCCCAAGTATTCACTCTGGTGTTTGTTTGATAAACGTGTGTGTGTTGATTTCCTTTATGCCGGACGAGAGGGCAAGGCGATGGTGTTCGCTCCCAAATTCTCACCTCTTAGCTCGAGGCCTGGCACATACAATAAATGTTTGGTGAACAGAATAAAGAGCATGCGAGGAACTGTTCCAGGCCCTCCATAATAGTTCCGGGCCACCTTCTGAGGGTGGTTGTTATGCCCCTTTTACAGATGAGGAAACTGAGGCTCAGAAAGGTGAACTGATTCACCCAGATTCGCGTAGCTAGAAGGGGCCAGAGACACCGCTGAGCCCTGGCAGCGCTGACCCCAGGTTTTCGGCTAAATCCATTCCCCGTGTTGTCCTGAGAGCTCAAATTCAAACAGTATCTCCAAGGAAATTGGTGGCATGCGCCCTACCGGGCTGAATGAGAAGTCATTGGTGGCAATGACTCGGATCCTTTGTGACATGGACGTTTAACTTAATTCCTCTAATTATATGATTAAGGGATTAAACTGAGATGGAAGGAGGGTGAGGCACAGAAATCGTATTGTAAGGAAATAGTACCAGGTTAGAGACTCTGAAAACCCAGCTATGAGTGAGTTCTGACTCCATGGCACATAAACAACTACAACAGTCCCAGGGCAGGTTCAATCTGCAGCAAGATGTCTCCACAGCACAAATATTTGCCCCCGCCCCCCTGTTATTCACAAGAAGGGTGTTTATTGTTTTCATCTCTGAAATATTACCTGTACTTGGATTTACCTGTACTTGGATTTTCCATAAAAATATTTTCAATGACATCTTACCTTTCTAATGTTCCCTTTATCCTAAGTCTATGTTAGGTACATACGTATGAATGTTTCTAAATATACTTCCTTTTCCACACACATATTCATGTGTTCTGCTTCAGTTCTTTTGACACTGTTGAAGGCGGAGGGTAGGGATGGGAGGAGAGAGATGGGAACCACTTCCAAGATCACTTGTCACAACAGCAACAACAACAAAAAAACACTCAGCAAAAACCTTAGGAAGGAACTAATGAGTGTTTTTAGGGAGACTCTATGAAGAATTCATTGAAGTTATCAGCTAACGTATACATCCTACCTTGTTAGATTAGCTCTGAGAGCCTAGTGGTATGGAGTTGCTCTGCTAACCTAAAGATACTCGGTTCGAATCCATCAGTTGTTCTTTGGCAGAAAAGTGGGTAATCTCCTCCTGTGTGATCCACAGCCTCTGAAAACCTGCTGGAGGGTCAGTTCTGACTCGCTAGTATATATAACAATAACAATGAAATATTAATGTTGTTGTTACATGTCATTGTGCTTGTGATTCATAGCAACCCTATGTACAACATCTCTGAACCCTGCTCTATCCTGAGTCAACCTTATTATCTCTGACACAACTACCCCCATTACTCCAGTCATTAAATCAATCCATCTCATTAAGGGTTTTCCTCTCCTATGCTGTCCCTTCACCTTCCCAAGTATGGTGTCCCTCTCTAAGGACTGGTCACTCCTTGCAGCATTTCCAAAGTATGTCAGATGGTGTGTCAGAATCCTTGCCTCCAAGGAGCAGCCTGGTTTCACCCTCTCCAGGACACAATCTGTTTGTTCTAGCAGTCCATGATATATTCAGCACTCTTCTCCAGCACCACAGTTTAAACAAAAATAGTGAATGTAGTCCTCCAACAAGCCCCTTCATAGACACTCTCGGGTATTATTCTCAGAGAGCTCCAGGAACTGCTGAACCAATTTTGGAGAGTTGTGTTGTTGTCAATGTTGTCATTGTTGTTATGTGCCATTGAATCAGCTCTGACTCACAGCAACCCTATACACAATAGCTCTGAAGTCTGCCCTACTCTGAGCCAGTCTCGCTGGCTCTGACACATCTACCCCCAGTTACTGGGTCAATCCATCTCGTCCAGGGTCTTCTCCTTCACTGTTCTTCCACCCTTCCAATCTTGATGTCCATCTCCAAGGACTAGTCCCTCCTGGAAACATGCCCAAAATTATGTGAGATGAAGCTTCAAAATCCTTGCTGCCAAGGAGCAGTCTGGTTTCACCCTCTTCAGAGCACATCTGTTTGGTCTTTTGGCAGTGCAGGGTATGCTCAATACTCTTCTCTAGCACCACAACTCAAAGCCATCAATTCTTCTGTCATTTTCAGTTATTTCCAGCTCTCTGATAGCAAGTATTGTGAAGACTTTGGTCTAGCTCAGGTACACCTTGGTCCCTAGACTGACATCATTGCTCTGGAGAGAGAAGTCCCAGATAGCAGAATTTCCCAATGCAAAACAGCTGCTAAATGCTATCAGTTCTTCTTTAAGGGGTGCAGGGGTAGGAGGGAGGAAATTGTGTAGTCAGACAATGGACCCTAAGTCTTTTAAAACATGAATACTGATAGCGGCATCTCTTGTGCTTGAGCTTGCTGTCAGTGTTCTCCTCCCAGATGTGTTTGGGAGATTTGCAAATTCAAAGCCAAGTGGAGGATTAGAGTGTGAAACAGCCTAGGGAGCAGAGCTCACTGGATACACATAGGAGATTCTCCTCACCCTCCTCTACTGAAACAGCACCAGGCAATGTCAGCTCTGACAGGGCTCTCTGGACTGGGAGAGAACCTTCTACTCTCTCTCATCTTCCACTCCACAGTCCTGCTGGATTCTACAGCAGAAATGATGGGGGAAAGTACAGAGCTCATGTAAGTGCTTGCCTGCAAGCCACTTCTCCATTTAAAACAACAGCAACAAACAACAACAATAAAATGAACAGTAATAAGGAAATGTTGAGGGGGCTGATGTGGATGTGTTGAGCCCTGGCTCTTGAAGGTTTTTTTAAAGGACACACACAGACCCATGAACCACATGACTTCAGTTCTTCTGTGAAAATGCTTAGGCCATTCATTGTGTAGCTTATTTTCTATATTCGCTGTCTCCTCTCATTTCGGGAATAGCTCCAGAAACCAGGCTGCGGGGTGGGTCAGGGTGGTAAATGTGTGCCTGGTGATTCTGATGCAGAATTCACTTATGGTGCTTGGAACTGAAGCTGGGGGTGCTTGAACATCCTTGCTCGTGGTTAAAGACTTTGTGAGTCTCTCAGTTACTTTGGCAAAGTTTTCTTTAGCTCTCACTATGCACAAGAAATGGGGAGTTTTTGAAATGGTTTGAATTCTTTTTGAATCATTCTTTATATAATCGCTTTCAAATCTGCATAGTTTCAACCATTAAGGTCTTGTACTTCTAACTGCCGCCTTTTAAAAATAAACATTTATTTTTAAAGCAACATTAAAATGACAACAGAAACCCACAACAAGCATTGCTCATAATCTCATCAGCTAATTAGGTCATTATTTCTCATTTTTACATCTAAGTCTCTAATTCATGTCCACATGTATATACAAAGATACATAATTGCAATGATGATGTAGGTAAGATCTCCTATTTTTCAATTTACTTTATTCTAAGGTTTTTGTTCCTTATATTTTGCTTTCTTTTCTCCCCCCGCCTTATGTTTCCCAGACCCTACTTGCCTTCCTGCCTTTGAGTGGCCAGCAAACCTTTACTATGCTGATATACATAGGCAAGGACTGTCTGCTTAATTATTCCTCTTAAAAATGCTGTAATTATACATATTATGCTTATCCCCTGCAAATTTTATTTTCTCTACCTTAACTCTGCATCTTGAGCCTCTCTCCAGGCCAGCTAGCTAGCTAGTTCATTAGCTCATCCTTTTTAATTACTACATAATACTCCACAGACAGGTGTGCCGTGGTTTATTTAATCATTTCCTCGTGGCTAGATCTTCAAGTTGCTCACAATTTTTGCCACCATGTGCAATAAATATTGACAAACAACCTCACCTCCCATTCTTTTGTTTCTGAGGAATAGTTTTCAAACAGATTTGAACTCGTTGCTGTTAAGCTGGAACTGATTCACAGCTGAGCCTCTATCAGGTTTCTGACACTATAAATTGCACAGGAGGAGATTGTCTTTCTCTCTCAGACCAGCTGGTGGCTGGTGGATTTGAACTGCCAGAGACATCACCTGGGGTTAGCCGCACATCTCCCTACAGACTATCCCCCACTACACAGGTGTCATTTAAATGTTCTGCAATCCCAAAGGCACACAGCTGGGATCCACACTCTACTCTGTGGAAGAAGGATGGACAATCCCCTTCCATGCCATTTAGTGCCTCTCAAAACCTGCTGGAGGGTCAGCCACATGTTGGCTCCAGTTCCACAGTCCACTCAACAACAACAACCAGGTTGCATTGTCACAAAATCTGCTGGAGAAGTTTCTATTCCCGCTGATAGCCTGGAAGAGAGAATGTTGTTAACTTTTAAGCCTACTGGGCCATTTAATTATGAGAACCTGCTGTTTCCCATAGTCATGGCTTAAATATCTCCTCTCCTTGCAGACATCATGCCTAAAGCTTCCCAGGGGGTTTCTGACATTTTAAAATCTTAAAACATTAGCAACATTCTCTCTACGTTAAAAATCATGAAAACAAACAGTGACTATGCAGACTTGCCCTTAGAGGACAGCATGTTTGCCCTGCTGCGTGGTCCCAGGGCAGCCAGGGAAGGTGGGGCGGAGAGACCTGCGGCTGGGCTGGGCCTCCCTCAAGCCTCAGGAGACTAACAGCACCTCTAGAGCTGCCTGCACTTCCCTTGCTTAGGGTTATTACTGTTGTTGTTGCTGTTGTTGTTTTGCAGTATCATTGAGTTGGAACCAACCCATAGCTGACTCTCCAGCAGGTTTTCAGAAGCAATTAATCACATGGGAGCAGATTGCCCATCCTTCTCCTGCAGAGCAGCTGGTGGATTCAAACCACATGCCCTCAGGATTGCAGTCCAG